GATACTGCTGATGATGATTATGATGATGCTGATGACGATGATGATGATGCTGATGGTGGTGATGATGGTCCTAATGATGCTTATGATGATGATGCTGATGATGTTGTGGTTCATGGTGATGGTGGTGGTGGTGATGATGATAGTGTCGGCGATTGTGATGGTGATGGTTATGGTGATGGTGATGACGATTCTACTGGTGATGATGATTATGTTGACGATGATGATGATGATGATGATTATGATGATGCTGATGATGATGTTGATGATGGTGCTGGTGGTGATGATAACGATGATGATGTTTATGATTATGCTGATGCTGTTGATGATGATGATGATGATGATGATGATGATGATAGTGGTGGTGGTGGTTGTGATGATGATGCTAGTGCTGGTGATGGTGATGGTGATTGTAATGGTGATGGTGATGACCACTATACTGGTGATGATGATGCTGCTTCTGATGATGATTATGATGATGGTGCTGATGACGACGATGGATGATGATGATGACGATGGTGGTGGTGGTGATGATGCTGATGATGCTGATGATGTTGATGATGTTGAGGTTGATGATGATGATGCTGATGATGATGATGCTGATGATGATGATGATGATGATAATGATCCTGGTAGTGGTGGTGATGATGATAGTGCTGGTGATGGTGATGGTAATGGTAATGGTGATGGTGATGACTACATTGCCGTGACAAAAGTATTATGCGGTCTTCATTCAACATGACTTAAGACTGGCGGAGTAAACGGAGTGGGCGGAGTAGAAATTACTCCGCGTGGACATGCATCCCGTCCCATTTTTCATATAGGAATGGGCGGAGTAATTTCCGATCCTGTTTTGAGATAACGATGTTATTAATTAGAGGTAGACGAATTACTCCGCGGGATCGCGGAGGACGCATGTCAATGTTAGGAATCTTCAGAGGGATAGGAGGTTCCAACATATCATAAAACCGCATAATCTTTTGTCACGGCGGTGTATTAGAATGATGATGATGATGCTGATGCTGATGCTGATGCTGATGCTGCTGATGATGATGATGATGATGATGATGACGATGATGATGATGGTGATGGTGATGCTGGAGGAGGAGGAGACGAAGGAGGAGGATGAGGATGAGAACGACGACGACGACGAACACGGTGACAGCGACGACGACGATGACGACGTGTCGGTCCGCATTCACCAAGAATGCAGTTTTCGCACGGCCCAACAAGTCCCAGTCCCAGACTGGGATCGGTGGCGCTGACGCTGTACCGCGGCCCGCTGCGCCGCGCACGGATTCGCGGACGCCCCGCCCGGCGGCCCCTGCAGCGCCTGCGGCCCGCCGCTGCGCCGAGCGCGAGGAGGTGCTGCTCGGCGAGGCGCAGCGCGGGGACTTCCCTCGGATGCTGGCGGACGTGACTGTCCGCTGCAGCGTTCCGGGGGGCGCGCGCGCCTTCGCCGCCGCAGCGAACGGCGACGGCCCGGTGGCCGCCGCGGGGGAGGCGGACAAACGCCGGAGCTACCCCGAGCGCCCCCTGGCCGCTGCTCCCGCTGGCCCACGAGACAGCGGGCCGCCTGGGCCAGGCCGCGCGACCCCACCTGCGCTAGCTGGCGCGGGACCGCGCGCAGGGCCTGGGCGACGGCCCGCTGCCGAGGCGGCCGTGAGCGTGCTGGCGCTGCGCTGGGGCGCTGAACGCAGCGTCGTGCTGCGCGGGGCCGCGGCGAGGCAGCTGTGGAGCGCGCTCGGCCAGGAGCGCGAGCGCCGCGTTGGCGGCCACGCTGGCCGCCTAGATCGCCAGGCTGCTGGTGCGAGTTCGCCGGCTAGCCGGCGCTGCGGGGCTGCCGGTCCGGCGTGGCCGGGGCGTGCTGTCCGTCGCCTACAGGTTCGTTTCGGTTTTGGCGCAGCTCTGAGTCCGCGCGGGCGTGCGGCCACAGACCGCGCTCCGCCCCGCCAGAAGAGGGAGGAGGCGGAGGAGGAGGAGGATCGGACGCCCATAAAGGGGAAAGAGAAGAGAGAGAGAGAGGTCCCGCAGTGGTCCCACGCCGCCGCTCCTGAGGGGGCTCCAATGGGGAAAAGCCGTGGACCCCCCGAGTGCGCGGCCCATCCCCCGCCTCGTCCCTGCCGACGGCTAGAGACTGGGGGATGGGCTGCGGCTAAGCCCCGCAGGGCTTCGCACGCCGCTCTCGGCACGGCCCGCTTAGCCGCACGAGTTCGCGGCGCCCTCGCACGCCGTCCACTGCGCGAGGAAGCCGCTCTCGGGGTCCCTGTCCACTACGGCCACCCAGCTCTGGACGCCAGATCTTTCGCAACATCGAGGTGGCGAATCGAGCGACGGACCTGGGCGACCTGACAGCCATGAAGCGACGGCGTACCTAAATGCCTTTCGAAATCCGCCTTCAGGATCTCCAAGGTACGTGATTCGACTCACCGCCAATCCAAGGAATAACCCATGCTGCCCAAGTCCTTGCGCCTCTGCCAGCCATCATGCTTGAGCTCCTGGGCAAGATCGACCGCAGCCCTCCGCATAGCCACGTGCACTCCACCCAAAAACAAGAATTCCTCTGCGTCTTGCTGGGGCGCCTCGGGCTCAGCAAGGAACTCCTCGTTAGCGCCAGGGTCCACGTCTCCATTGAAAAGGTCGGGCATGTCGAAGTCTATCTCGTATTCAACGGCCTTGTCGTAGCGGTCGACGTGCACGAGGTCTAACGGCTCCAACCGCCAGCCGGACTCCTGCTCATTCACGTCCGCCTCCTCGGGGAACTCGTTCGGCTCCCCAGCGAGGCCCACAAGGCCGGACTCCTTCACATCGTTCACGCCGTTCTCGCCCTCCTCGGAGATGCCCGCGTTCACGTCCACAACGGCCATGTCGTAGCCGTCCGCGTGCACGAGGTCCAACGGCTGCAGCAGCCCGGCTGACTCCTGCTCCTTCCCGGCGGCCTCCGTCAAGTAGGCCTCCGCATCACCGTCAGCGCCTTCGCTGTGCACGCCGAGGACTGTGAGCAGCATATCTACTGCCAGCTCCTCCACCACCACGGGGGCATGCAGCTGCCCGCGAAACTCCTCGAGCAGCGACGCCTTGATCCGAGAGTGCGTCTGCCGTATCTTCGCCAGGGCTGGCGGAGCGGCATGCCGAGCCCAGTTGGCCCCTATCCCGAGCTCCTCAGCCTCCGCCGCAAGCTCGTTCAGGCCCAGGAGCTTGGCCGCGCTCGCCGCCGCCATGATGGAGGCCTCGTGGCCCCCGATCGCGTCGCCCACTGCCCAGTGGGCCCCCAGCGACTTCCTGAAGACGTCGACGCGCCGTCCTAGCGCCTGCGCCCTCGAGACGCCAACCTCAGCACGCCACTCACGGCGCCGCCGCCACGCCAGCGTCCGCGACGAAGCTGTCGCCCAGTGCCTCTTGCTGTCGGACTCGGAGTCCGCCATCGGCCGCATGCGCTCACACCTGCGCGCAGCAGGGCGCGCGCAACCGAGCGTGGGCCTCCCGACGCCTGGCTCGCGTGAGCCAGAATGGCTACGGACGGCGGAGGAGGAGGAGGAGGAGGATGAGGAGGAGGCCAACGATGACGACAACGCGGCCGCGGGCGCCGTGGCCCCCGCGCGACCTCTGCGACGCCGTCCTCCTCATCCCCCCAGGAGAAAGCCCGCGAGGAGCGAACCGCTGGGCGCGAGGACCGCCACCTGCGCCGGCGCCGCCCGCCCCGCGGGGTCGTTGTCGCCGCGGTCGTCGATTTCCTCGTTCTCCGCCCGGGGACGGGGAGCGGGGGCGTGTCACGGAGTCCCGTTTGCGCTGACTTTTCGGGTGTACATGGGCCATGGGTTCTCTGGGTCATGACCCCCGCTATTGTGATTTCTTGTTGGCCCTGGCCCAGGCTCAGCGTCGCGTTCCATTTCCTGCGATTGCCCCGTGGTCTCCAGGTCAGTGCGCCATCCCCAGAAGCGTTCAAAGCAGTGCCGCTGTTCTTCCATATCTGCAAAACCCAGACACTCCCGTCCTCGGCCCCCCAACGCCTGGCGCGAACCCCCAGGCAAGCCCTATAACTTCCTCTCGGCCGGCGTCGTCTCCCTTCCACGCGGTAGGGTTGTTCATCGGGGCTCCACGCCCCCCCCGACGCTCCGATCCCTTCCACCTCCCCCTCCCCCGTCAGCCTCCCTCCTCCTCTCCCCGCGCGCTGCCTCGCTCCTTGGAGGCCGGCCGCCCCAGCTCTGCTCAGCATGCTGCTGCGGTCTCCCGCGGGGCGCAAGCTCCTGCTACCTTCCACACGTGAGATCCGAGCTGTCGGCACCCTCCTCAAATCCAGGCTGTCGGCACCCTCACCCCTCACCCCTCGAGGGGTGGCGGCCGGCCTGGCGCGCCGCGCGAGGAGCCCGACCTCACCGGGCCCGAGGCCATGCAGCAGCTGCTCGAGATGCGCCGGGCCGCGGCCAGCGTCACCGGCGGCGCGGCGTTCCGCGGCGGCGAGGCCCCCTTTTGTCCCGGGGGGGCGCCCGAGATCCAGGCCGCCCCGAGTGGGGCCCGAGTGGACGGGGGTCGGAGGATCGCGCCGCATCGCCGATGCATCGGCGATGCGGATCGGTTCTGATCCCGATTTGAGCCCTCCCGACGTCTCCGATGCAGCGTCCAGGCATCAGGGATGCATCGGCGGTGCGGCGCGATTCTCCGACCCGCGCCTATGCTCGGGCCCCTTTGTGGCGGCCTCCGTTCCGGTCTTTTGGGCTCCTGCAGGTCTCTGGCGTCCTCAGCGGAGGCCTCCCGGGACCTCAGGAACCAGCAGGTTCCGATCTATTGTTCAGTCGGGCCTGTCCCTCTACAGGGGGAATATTCAAAAATAGTCAAATATTCTGGGGACGATTTTTTTTCAAGTATTTGTTCGACTATTTTTGGGGCATTGTTGGGGTATTTTTCATTTTTCGTCCAAAATCCCCCTGTATGGGGGGACAGGCCCGACAGACATCGATTGTCGAGCCGAGGCCGGCGTTTCTCCCCCCAGGCCGGGCCCCCCG